CACACACATTACATCAGCACGAGCTGACAGATACCTCATCAGAATGACAGTGACGGAGTATTCAGCTTCATCTTGACAGCTGATGTAACATACGAGCTCTGCTAAAGGTGTGCTGTTGTCAGCTGCTGTTCTGTGGATTGCGTGTGTGTATTCTTTTCCGCAGGAATACCCTGGCGCAGAACCATGGACGCTTGATGTAAGAATGGGCTCATCAGCCCAGTCATAGGCGTTTTGAATGGCAATAGAATAATCTTTTCCGATAATTGCCGCTTCAGTTCGGAGTAGAATGGCGGTCGATTATGCGCTGAATATTATAGGGATGGATTATACAGCGTCATACTGGACGGGCGCCAAGCATGATGTTCTCGGCACCCCTGGATATGACGCGAGATCTCGTCTGATAAGAGCTGAAGGTAAACTCACGAGCATTCACGTCTACCTACTGTCTGTGTATGCATATACCCCTTTTATAACCGTTCTGCTCAGATTTTTACAGCATTTGTATTCATACATATGCATTTATGTGTATGTGTGTACTCATTTATATAATTATTCGTCACATATCTTACTTTTTCATACGTGTTATATATTCATATATGCATGTTATGTATTTCATGGGTATGTATAGTACATACGCGTTATATATATATGAAAATATGCATACGTGTGTGACTCTTATTCCACTGCCACACTTGTTATCTCATGGCACTATTATATTACGTGAGGCCCCTTCATTTTATAAATTTTGCATTCTGCATAAACTTTAACTGCACTCATATACATGTATGTGTGTTCTATGTACTAATTATAACGTTGTTGAGAGCTGTAAACACCTCTTTTAGCTCAGGATTCTGCTATCTAAGCAATAGACTGTGGTATGATACACTAATTCTCTCCGCTGTATGATACTGAAATTCTGTGTGGCATTATGACTGGCGTAGAAGTCCTCACCGTCGGCGTAAGGTGACCTATGATGTGCCAGTCACCAGTGTTGGAGTAATGCAGTGTTTTGGTCAATGTCAATATTTACCAAAGGACTGGGTTAGATTATTCAAACTACGACAGAGCACGGAGAACTAGGTGCATAAACGGATGGATGCCTGTGCGGAGCATTTTTTAAGACTAGTCAAAACAAATACGTGATAAATACATACAGCTACGTGATAAATACATGGTAATGTAATGTAACGTAATGCAATGCTCCAAAAATTTTTCAGAAGATTCCGTTAAGGATTTTCTAACGTTAACATTCTGTTTATACGTTACATATACGTACAGAATGTTATTTAATAAAAGAAGCGAGATTTAATTTTGCAAAGACACGCGAGTCCAAATGCGCCTTGGAAAAAGAATCACTGCTTGTTGTTTTGCATTCATTTCAAACTCACTCTCATCTAAAGTAAGGGGACGAATTCCCAAAAAGCTGGATTTTAAAAAAGAGAGGAGGGAAAAAACTGAACAGAAGGATAAAAGCAAAATAAAATGTAAAAAGCAAGCGCATAAGAAGAAGCTGCCGAAGAAGTCGAAGTGACTTTACTGCTGCTCTGGAAAGCAAAAGCGGAAATTGAAAAGCTAGCCGTCGCGCAGAAGCCGAGAAGTTTCTCCACTCCGCTTTTGCTAATGAGATGCATTCGAATTGCTGATAAGGTGCAATAGTTTGATGCAAATTTTCCTCTTTTGCTTTCATTGCTTGCATGCTAGTTTTTTTATTTTTATTTTATTTATTTTATTTTTTCCTTCTCTCTCTTACTTCTACATTTCAGTCTTAAACGTTTCGCCGCAAGCACTTTCTGATCGATTTCGAATTCAGAACTGCACGTGAACGATATGTGGGACCTGGTTGGGAATTCATAGCATAAGCTCTTATTTCTGTACGGAAGATGGTGAAAGTGCTCAAATTCTCTAGTTTGTTAACTAAATAAGCCCTGTAGATTAGTAGATTCCCAGAAGAACTATCAAACAAAACCAAAAAGCCTATTTCGAGACCTCGCAACTAATATACTTTGAAGTATAATAATAAACTTTTGAATCATTTTCCTTTCATCATGGGGGATAAAGGCACATTTGAGACTAATCTTTCTTTTCTAAACTCATATTGTGTAACAGGAGGAGCTCGATAAAAATGAAGCTAAGTTTAGGGACTCAATGGAACTGTGGGACAAAGTTTGCCAGCCTCATCCGGTACCAAAGAAGCGGGTCTTCTCAACTTCCTAAGAGTAGGAAAAGGAATGGTCAGACTTTTATCGTCCGCGTGGAAGTACCTTAACTAAAAATTCGGTTCGTAAATACTTTCGCGCAGAGTTGAGGTTGCCGATATAGAAAGCTCAACAAGTACAAGAAACTACCCAGAGAGAAAGGCTAAACTGATGAGTGAAAACTGGTGTGTTATTATACTACAACTGTGATTAGGGTAGGTCGTCGTTTGAGCATAGTAAAGCACACGTAGGCCAATGAAGGGAACAGATGCTTCTGTAGAAGACTTTCTGAAAGAAACTAACTCGTATTGTGTTACAGATTGGGAAAACCAAGAACTCCCTCCCATAGCTAACCCGCTCACCGAGATTCTCTTTGACGCCCACTCTTAGGTTTGTGATGACACTAAGATTGCCATTCACTGTCTGTTGTACATTACATTTCTAATCCTGTATTATATTATGCAAGGAATATAAGCTTTCGAATATAAGAAGGTGAAATATTTAAAAAAAAAATGGAATAAATCTGGTTGGAAGTAATCAAACGTTAGGCAGTTTTGAAGTGAAAAAAATGGTTTAAAGTGAAAAAAATAGAAGTAAAACCAAGAACTGATACATTTAATCAGGTAATATCTCGACTAGACCTTATCCCAAAACATGCGTGACGGTTTTATTCCCAGTTCAGCTCGAGGCGGAAATATCCATTGACCATAATTTCTAGTTTAGCTCTCACTTTTCTTTCCCCTCGTATCAGCATAAGGAATGGCGAGTTTATATTACACGGAAAATATCACGTGATTTGTATTAGCTTATGTTTACATTTAACCTTTCTGAAGGACCAATTTCTAGTAATAGGGCTCTTCCCTTCGTTCTTCTTTCGGTAGCTTGCATTGGTTAGGTAGAAATTCTTTTAAAAATGAACCATTGAAAAATGAGGGAGGTATGGAAACCCAGGAGGGCCAGAATGCCCTGGTTTATGATCGCGAGTCTTTTAAATTGAAGCATATCTATAAAAGAGGAAATAAGCAATGGGTTTGCCGATGTGATAACTGAAATGGGCATATTCAAGTGCAGATGAGATTCCAGTGTGCAGATAAGAAAATAAATGACCAAGAAAGTTGTGCATGTACTAGCAAATATTGAGATACAGAAATAAACTGAATTACTTGGTTTTACTCATAAAAGGAGGTTAAAAATGCAGATTGTAGTTTAAATCAAATGAAGGGATATTTCCCGATCGACCCGAACTGGAAAAATGGCCAAATCGTCCTCTTTAAGGCTGAAATGAGAACGAAACTGTTAAGGTTGAAATCAGAAGGGATTATATCGGCACAAAAACCTTTAATTAGGCACGTATTGCTGAAATCATTAAATTTATACGGATTAATGCTGCTGAATACGTTAAATTTACGTGTGCGGTATACGCAATGCAGAAATTTGGTTGTTTGTTTCAATTACACTTACAGGTTCGACACTGATAATGCAGAAACCTGATTAATCAGGATGCTGATGAATTTGTTAAACTTGAAGGGTTGGACACGGATAATGCATAACCTTACTTAATGGGAATGCTATTGTAACCGTTATCAGGGATAATGGAGAACCTTGAATTATCGGAATGTAGTTGTTGGTATCCATTAAACTTACGGATTGGACATAGACAATGAAGAACATTTATTGTTTTTATCAGTTACACTTGCGGGCTCGACACAAATAATACAGAAACTTGGTTAGTGGAGTTGGTGATGAATCTGTTAAACTTAATGGGTAGTCACGGATAATGCAGAGCCTTAGCTATTGGGGATGCTGTTGTAACCGTTATAGGATTTATCAGAATGTAGTTCTTTATATTTGTTTAACTTACAGGTTCGACATAGATAATGTGGGAACATTTGTTGCTTCTATCAGTTATACAGTTGCAGGTTCGACACTGATAATGCAGAGATTTGATTAATGGGAATGCTGTTGAATCTGTTAAACTTCATGGGTTTGACACAGATAATGCAGAACCTTAGCTAATGAGGATGCTGTTGTAACCGTTAGAGTGATAATGCAGAGTCTTGGTAAATCGTATCCGTTACACTTGCAAGTTTGACGCAGGTAAAACAGAACCTAGATTAATAAGGATGCAGTTGAGTTCGTTACAACTACGAGTTTGACACAGATAAAGTAGAATCTTGGTTAATAAGGAGTATGCTGTTTGTTCCGTTACCCAAGCATATCCGACATGGATAATGCAGAGCTTTATTTAAATAGGATTCCCTTCTATATTTACGGATTTGACACACAGATAATGTAAAAGTTTGCTTAATGAGGATGGTTTGAAACTATTAAACTCATAGATACGACATGGACAGTGCAGAACTGTTGTTAATCCATATTTTGCTGAATGGCTATTGGAACTTGTAAATACTTTGAAGCATTATGTCTGCCCAGCCCCAAGTAGGGGCAGTAAATTTTGATTTTTTTTAGTTATGTAACGTAAGTGCAATTATGTATATGCTAATGTAACTGCATGGTTATATTAATGATATTAGATTAGGAATGAAGAAGTTATTATACTACTCAATAGAAGGGCATAACTGGAAAGGTAAACAGTAACAGTAAACAGTAAAACAGTAAACAAAGTAAAACTGACAGTAAGGGGGAAGACAAATGATAATTTTAACAATTTACAGATAATGCAATTAATTCATTTACATTTCATTTACAGATGATGCAATTCTCACTTCTGAATACTCACGTTAATCTCGAAATTGTAAATCAAAGTAAATTAAAATGAAAATAATTTATTCCAAAATAACTTACGTCAAATGTTGAGACTAAAGACCTCAGAGTGATATTTACAGGATCATTTCAGGCCTGTAAAGAGTGGAAAATTAGTTATCCTATGTTAAAAAATACAAATGAAGCAACATACTAGAGTTTTTCCTCCTTGAAAATCTGAATTCTTTAAAAGAAAGTTCTCAAAATGTTAAAAAAGAAAAAAAAATTGTACCGAGATACTCAATAGTATGCCATCAGGAATATCTTGTATTAATTACAACTCTGTCCATAAAAATTTTAAAATTATATTAATTAGGAGAGCCATTTTAATTAACACTTTATTACCTATATTAAAATCTATTGTGCACTTCTACTGTTTCATCTGCTCCACCAGAAGAGGTAAATGAAGGAGCAAAAATATAAGAGAAAGATTTTGGCAACATCTGCCTGCTGTATTGAAATTCGTCTGTTATCTGTCTTCAACGTAATTGCTACCAGCTGGTGAATTGTCTCTGATTAAAAATTAAGTAGGTAGTTGTAGGATAACGGATTTAAGATTTCAGGCCTTAAATTCAAACACGTAAATACTTTGAAGCATTGTGTCTGCCCAACCACAAGGAGCAGAGGTAAATTTTGATTAATTATTTTAGAGTACTTTTCCGTTTTGCCGGCGCAGACGATAAAGTTGCCAATAATGGTACAACTCATGCCAAACGGAATATCCTCGCTGGTAACCTTTTACGCCTCACTTACAAACCAAGTAGGAGCCATTTCTTATCAGATTGATTGTTTCTTTCAATTCTTTAATACAATTACATAGAATTTTTAATAGATAATTCAATTTTATGCCCTAAGGCCATTCGCGGTAATAAAGACAATTAGGGTGCAATCACATCGCTCACCTGATGGCAAAGTCAAGGGTTAAACTCATCAGTTCTAATAAGAATGCACTAGCGAAGTAACGCACTGCGGTTTTACATAATTTCCGAGTAAGCTATTTATACGAATTGAAATAATTCTTGCATTTAAACATGTATTCCAAATTAAGATTTACCTTGAAATCAATGTAGATAATTACTGAGATAATTGATTTTTGTAGCGTAGTTTTCGTGAGAGAAGATCACTCGTGGTCACGTGATACGAACCGGCGAATCAGGATGTTGAACCATGAATGCATAGTAAATTCTTAAATTAATGTCTCTTACAAATTTACTGTCTTCATTTATTGGCTTTTTACAAAATTTTAAACGATATTAAAATGTTTATGCCTTCAAAAGAAGAAATTCTTAGAACTAACATTTGTTACTATTTTTTATGTGTATACTGTATGTTGTCGCCAATAAAGTCTGCTTGGCGAGATTTGCGCGCGCAAAACGGAAAAGTACCTATTTTAGTTATGTAACTTCGCTAATGTAACTACAAGGTTATAATAATATTAATGATATTATATTAGGAATGCTGAAATGGAAAGGCATAATTGAAAAGTTAGACAGGCGAACTAAAACTGACTATAAGAAAACAAACGATAATTTTAACAATGAATGACTCTTTTGCTTTAGATGACCGAGAATTATTAATCTGTAGTTTGAGCTGAATTTAGCAGGCTTTTATGTACACATATAAGATACAGCACGTAAAATTAAATGCAAACTTTATAACTTTTCTTCCTAAAAATACTAACGTGCTTATGATAAACTCTCTGAACGGTGCTATTTCAAAATTAATCCCTATTATGTGATTCTTGTATAATAAAGTAAAATCCAGACTTTAATTTGTAAGTTTTAATGTCTCCTGCTTAATTTTATTACTTCGCTTTTCTTTCTAAAAAATAGCAACACGCTTATATGAACGGAAAAAAAAAATAATAACAAGAAAAAATTTTTTAAAAATTTAAAGTCTGAAAGCTTTCAGATTTTACTTTACGCCTAAGGGGGCGTTTTTTTAACGTTTTTTTAACGCCTTTATTTATTAAATATTATGTCTTCGCACTTAAACCATAAAATTTAATTCAAACGCAATATCACAAAATATTTAAAAAAGCATATCTTTAGAATTTCCGATACAGAGTCTCGCGCGCTGGAGATAATTTTTTTTCCCGTACACTGTTACCATTGCTCTATTTGAAATCGTTAAGTTTCTTAATCAAAAACTCATAAATGGTTTACAAAATATGAAATAGAAAATAAAACACATTCGAAATTCGGGCTTCCAGATGCCCATATTATTATTCAAAATCTGCTGGCTCTAGATAACCTTTTTTTTTTTTTTTTTTTATCACAGTGCGAGAATTATAAATACCTTTATGCAGATTCTTCGTTATTTAATTTCTTTAAATAAAATACAGGGCTTTAATATTTGGTGGCAACAATTTAAAAAGTAATTCGCCGTTTATAGCGAATCAACGTCGAATACAGTACCACTTCCAGGTGACTATTAATGGCTGTTATGGGCTTCTTGTAAAGAACCACCTTCGTTTGTCCAATTTCATCAAAAATCAATAGGTTATACAAATGTAGACAGCTTAAAAATAGAAGTTTTTGGAAGAGTCATACAGTATGAAAGAAGAATTATCGTGGACGAAAAAAACCTTCTCATACATATCACATTCTGCAATAATATCATTCTAAAAATGGTAAAAACGTGTTATGGAGACTGTAATTTGTGTTTATTCATTGAAAACCCACTATCGATGGAATTTTTAGACCGAAAACTCTACCTTCTTTACATATATAGATAGGTTGACTAGAGGTAAAAAAGCGATACAAGCGCGAAGACGAGCGCAACCGCTATTCGTATTACGTTTCATATACGTAAGGCATTATATTTGGAGATCCTAAGAAAAATATCTGACGTGGACACAACAGAACTTCTTTTTACAGCCTATTAGATTATACGTAATTTTTGCTGCAATTCATTTAAACCTATTTCCAAAAATTTCATTAAAGGTAATTTCGCATCCAATAAATTCAATTCTTACTTCGCTATAAGCTAAAAATGCATAAAAACTCAAAACATTCTTAATTAAAAATTGTAAAATATAGAAAAACATAAAACACCAGATACAGTTAAAAGCAGTCAAAAAAACAAATTTTCAATTCCGTCAGCGGGCAGAAAGACAAAGTTTACTTTCAGTCTCACTGGGGAAAAATACACTGAAGTTGGTGCACCAGATAAAATTTACTATTCTACTAAGAGTTTCAAACGGAAACAAATAGCGGCCTCGTTAGGCCTAGCAACACTTAAACTTTTAAATCGTTGATAATTCTACTACTATCGTATTGAGATTAACTAAAATCACAAAGACCTTAATCAGAACATAAGAACAACATAATTCAAGCACTTTTGAGGCAAAAATGCACAAATTTATCAGCATATAAGAAAAAAACACCGAGCTCAACGAGCCAGGGAACAGAGTGGAGATGTATTTATATACAATGTGTCCCGTAAATGTTGCGACAAACTTCTTGGGGAGGTAGGGCACAACATAAGGATTAAGAATCGCATAGGAATCCATGCCCAGAAACGTCACTACACGCCGCCAGGGGTGCTGTATAAGGGAGTACTAGTGGAAAGTGAGGATTGCCTTATTCGAGCGGAAGGCACCATACGAAGAGCATGAAACGCTATACGAACGTAGAGCTTGCAGACATTCACTTAGTGTACTGCATAGCTGAGGGTAATGGACGAGCCGCTGCACGCATTTACCGAGAACGTTTCCCTGACAAACATCAGCCACACCACAGTTTGTTTGCGCGTCTGCATCAAAATTTGTGCGACTACGGATCATTAAGAATGGAAGAACAAGTGAGGGCAGACCACGATCGCTTAGCTCGGTCGTTAGGGAAGACAGTGTGTTGGATACGGTGGGAAGTAATCCAAGGACCAGCATACATGCCATTGCCTCTCAATTAAGAATGTCTCGTACCACTGTCCAGCGTGGCTTGAACGTTGAGTTCTTCCACGCCTTTTGTCTCCAGAGGGTTCAGTTACTGCTCCCGGATGACCATCCTGAACGTGTGCGTTCCGCATAGTAGTTTCTGCAAGAAAGTTTCCGTGATGTTAACTTCCCAGCTTATATGTTGTTCACGGATGAGGCCATATTCAATTGGGATGGCGTGTTCAATTACCACAATCAGAATTTGTGGGCTCAAGAAAACCCCTAAGGTGTACGGCACCACGCGGCACAAGAACGCTTCAAATTTAATGTGTGGGTGCCTGCTCATTTTGTTCATGTTCGTAGCCATTTGAACAGATCATTCCCGCATCGATGGATTGGGTGTGGTGGACTGATTCCCTGATTCCTCACCGGATTTATCGAGCCTTGATTTATTTTTGTGGGGAGCTATCAAATGTGTCGCGTATCACGATCCTGTTATGCCTGAAATGGGTTTCGTGGCAAGACTCACCACCGCAGCTGCTACAAGCAAAGAAACTTACGGTGCGTTTGAACAAGTCCGGCAATGGTCCGTCGGTGTCAGGCATATCTGGCACCTGATGGTGCAAACTTCGAGCATCTGTTGTAACATTCAAGCTGTCGTACACTATTTGTATTCATGTCGAATAAATGTTTCAAATTAATCATTCTCTTGTTTTCTTTCCCATCTTCTACCTCTGCTACCACTTAACCTAATATTGCCGGGCATGGGTTCCTGTGTAATTCTTAATCCTTATGATGTGGGCTATCTCCCCCAGAAGTTTGTCGCAACATTTATGGGACACACTGTATATACATTTGGTGTAGTCGATTGCTACGAAAAAGAAGGTGCACAACTACATGTCATAGCAGACCGATATACAAAATTTCAACATTCAATGGGTACTGGTTTTTGGATTACGCAAGACTACGTACGTATAGATGTCACGAAAAAATCTCTCCTAAACCCATTTTACAATCCGTTTTGGAAAAAAAGAATCCTTTATTCTATCTTTACGTGCAGTTACCATGCAAATACATTGTTCAAATGAATTCGACAGCGGTCAAAATAGATACTTTCGTTGAAATATGATACCCGAAATTTTTCTTAATAACAATATCCGTTACTTCGTACAAGAACGTGAAAAGAAAGGGGTTGTAGATTAAATATTAACTATATTTT